AAGGCCGGGGGGATGCTGGGCTCGGTGAAGATGGAAGCCCATGACCTGGCCGAGTGGAGCTACTACCCAGAGGCGGGCGAGGTGTGTCCTCGGGGATGGCGGAGCTGGAAGTGGGGGGCAGGTACTGGGGTGTGGGCTTAAATGAGGGCAAGGACCGGGGTGTGGGCTTAAGTGGGGCCAGGGACGGGAGTCTGAGCTTAAATGCGGGCCAGAACATCTAGCTGGGAAGCCGAGGAACCAGGGACACGGAGACCAGGTGTGGGAGTCAGGGAAGGGGACAAGGCATGGGAGCGCGGTTGAGGCAGACTAGCCCGGGCCAGGGCTTAAATGAGAGCCAGGAAAATTGAGGCAAGAGTCAGGTCACACCTTAAACGAACGCTAGGACCGGACTGGGTGTTGGCGCCCCCAAATCCGAGGGATTAAAACAAAGCCCCAGGTAGGGGACAGGACTGAGAGACTGCAGGAAATGGAGATCACTAGAGATGGAGAACGGGGGTCACCATTAAGCGAAATCAGGCTGGGAGTTGGGGGCTGGAATACAGGGTTAAACGTGAGGATTGCGGGACAGAAATCAGAACTGGGGTTAAGGGATAAGGATCTGCTGGTGATCTAAGATGGGATCAGAAATAGGGGGTGGTGCTCAGGGGTAGGAGATGGGCGTGAAGCTTTGTGTTGGATGTCTGAAGTAACAGGTGGCTTAGAATTGGGGCTCAGATGGAGGTGGGCCCAGATGGGGTCAGAGCTGGGGACCTGAGAGCAGTTGTGGGCGGCAGCATGGGCGAGAGAGGCCTCGGTCTCCACACTGCCCTTCCGTATGCATGTCCCCAGCAAGGACTCTCCAAGTTGGAGGCTGGGGTTTCCGATTCCACACCTCTCCTCCCTCCCAGCCACCACCTCCAGCCAGGCCCAAGTCCTGCAGTCCCACTCAGTCTGGGCTTCCTGGAACAGGGCTGGGGGACGCATCCCTATTTCCTCATGCCGGCAGAGAGAAAGTCTAACCCTCGTGGGACTTGCTGCTAGGACTCCTGCTCTTTGGCTTGCTTGCTGTTTGACCAACATTGCGAGGCTGGGTGGGGATCAGGGTCCTAGCCTGAGAGTTGGGGGGCCTGAAAGTGAGGCATGGGGCTAGAATGGTTGGGTTCTCCAAGGAGTCAAAATCTGGTGGTTACAGGGGCCCCAGTGTGCCCTAGTGCTGGTCTGGGGTTGGCAGCTGCAGGGTGGGACTCCTGGATCCCCGGGCTTGCAGGGCTTGGCAGGGTGCCCGGGCGGGGCCAGTCCTAGGTCTGGGGAGGTGTGAGGTGCACGTGTGGCAGGGCAGGGCCAACTAGGAAGGGGCTGGGAGTGCTGAAAGGTGGAGGTGGGGCAGCTGAAGGTATCAGTTGTCTAATGGGGAGTGGAGGCTCTGGGGTAGTGAGGGGGTCCCGCTGGACCTCTGGAGTGCTTAGAGTTGGGGAATATGATGACTTGGGGCTGACAGGTGGTGTGGTGGTTAAGGCTCTGGACTCCCACACGGCCAACTATGGTTTAAGTCCCAGACCTGGAGGCTTGTTTTCTCACTTTCCCTTTCTCTATGGCCAAATTAAAAGAAAAAAATAAAAAGAGGGCCAGTGGGTGGCATATTGGTTAAGGCACTGTATTCTCACGTGGCCAACCACGGTTCAAGTCCCAGACTCAGACCCAGAGACTTGAAACTTACACCAGGCACGTGTGGATGCATGCCCAAAATCCCAAGAGGAGAATAGAGGAGAAGGGACTGGGGCATGGTCATCCCCCCAGGGCATGGTTTTTCACTTTCTTTCTTTCATTCCAGTGAGTACAGGCACCCTTTAGCAAAACTCTTTAATAATAATAATAATGGCAAATAAAAATATTTTTAAAATAAAGGGACTAACTACAAGTCAGTGTTTTGAGGTACAGCGTAGGAGGAAAACCATGTGTGGAGGGATCTAGGCGGGGGAGTCACTGTCGGGGCACTGTGGGAGTGGAGCTGAGGGGCCGTGTGTGGGGAATGTGAGTGGGGGAAGGATAAGCTAGGGGATCTGCACTGGGGGGTATATTTCCAGAGTCAACTACGAGGGGCTGGAAATGGCTGGGGGATGCTGTCTGCGGTCTCCCCAGTCTCATCAAATGAGCCCACCCCTCCGCGTCTGCAGGGAGCTAGGAGAGTAAGCCCCTCCCTGCCCTAGTCTCAGGTTCCTGCAGATCATCAGCCTCACTGCTCCCCTGTCCCGTCCAGCCGCCCCCCCACCCCCCCAGTGCTGTGGTCGCAGTTGAATCTGGGACCAGAACAAGGTTTCTGGCTTCACACTGCCTCCTGCTCCCTGTCACACCTTTCTCCAGAGACAATAAGGAAATGAAAGGGGAGAAATTCCGCCTCCAGTGGGGGTGCAGGTTGTCCCCGGAGGGCTTCCCCCCAATCAGCCCGCCCTCATGGAGATCCGGTTCAGACCCGGACACCAGGGGTTCATCCCAGCCCGGGGCAGGGCGTGGGAAAGCCTAGGGTGGATTAGGGCAGCTGGAGAGCTTGAGGTCAGACCTCAGGGAGAACTTCCTGGTGGGTGGGGAGCCAGAAAAGGAGGGCCAGGGTCCCAGTCTTCCACTCAGATACAAGAGAGCCTGCCTGTGTTGGAAAAGTTGGGTGCAGAGAGATTTAGAATTCTTGGTGGATCCCCCTGAATCCATCACTTTCTGCCCTCTTTTCTTTCTTATTCTGGGGAGGGGGCAGAAGCAGCGCACTTCTGGAGAACAGGAGCTGTGCCCCCCCCCCCCCCGGCCCAAGGGGACCTTCGGGGAGCCCA